ATACTCTTTCACACAAAATAAAAATATTACAATGTAGAGTGATCATTAATATTTAGTTTACAAGTGCCAACACGTATTTTGAGTTGGCCTGATAGCTTCTGTTCTTATGTTCTCATTCTCTGGTATCATTCTGCCCTTTCAGGATGAAATTTTGCGTGTTTGTTTTTTAAATGGGGCTGATGCTGTATGCATATGTGTCTATGTGTGTGCATAGCCAAAATTAATCTTTTCTCAAAGGCATTTAATTAACACATCTGAAAACCAAATAGCAGCAAGGCTTACTAGTCCACTCAGACTATTAAATTTGTTCCAGAAAAATAGAGTAAAGGTAACATATGTTCATTTTATATTGTAAAGCACGGGTAAGTGATATTCTTTTCATTCTTTCAAGTCCAACTAAGGCTATAGAATCAGAGCATAACTGAGGTGGGAAGGGACCTCTGGAGATCACCTAGGCCAACCCCTCTGCTTAAAGCAGGCTCAGCTAGAGCAGGGTGCCCATGTCCAGACAGGTTTTGAATATCTCAAAGGTTGGAGACTCCACAACTTTTCCAGGCAGCCTGTTCCAGTGTTATTGTAGTTTTATCACAAAATCCCAGCAAGCAACATAGTTGCTTTACTTTGTCCCAGAGACAAGGTTGCACAGTCAGACTCAGAATTTATTTCCCATCTCTGTCACCAGGAGGGGTATGTGATGTTGAAGTGACCTCCTGCAGAGGCAGACAACATTTGTCTAAGCATTGACAGCAGAGGGGAGTAAGTGCTTCCACCCGTTCTCTGCTCTTTTTTTGCTTATCCGTGCTCACCTGAAAAGATGTCAAAGTAGCAAGTATCACAGTCCAGCCCCAGAATAAGTAGCCCATCAGAGCAAATAAGATATCTGTTGGCATGTATGAGTGTACAGGTCAAGTTCTGCGCCTACCTTTATGATGAAGTGAAAGAGTCACGTTGTAATATCTGTAAATATATTGTGCTATAGTGTTGATGTTTTCTCAATATTTATCCCTGGAACTACTACGGTGTGTTAATGTAAATATAAACATAAATATACGACTAAAGGTAGGCAAAAAACAGCTACCCTATACTAGCTATAAATCTGTATACATATAAAGAGTGAACTTCCTTCTATATGAAATGGTTTATGTACAATACAAGCAATGATCCTTATCTTTGGAATTTAACTATAAATTTTAATCTTCACTTTTATACTGGGACAACTGGGGACAGAGGCACTGATCAGTCTTATCACTTTGTGTTTTATTCCCAGCCAAGAAATAGCACTGTATCTGTTGTCATCCTTTTTCTGCTTTGTCTGAAAGGAAGTACAAAGATAAATCTTTTTCTTAACAACAAAACAAAGCAAAACCACCTTTAAAACACCTCCATCCACCACAATTTCATGTTCAAGTCCTGTTTCTGTTAAATGATGAGCACCTATGTTGAATTCAGCAGAGCACTTCTCATAAAACACTCAGCACATATCAAGGTAAAAACTCTTAGAAAACATCTGCTTATTTTTTAGAACAATGAAGTTAAATAGAATGAGAACACTAGAGTGATGTGATGGAAGAACATGTTGAATCATGCGACAATTACACTATTGCACATAGCACCTTTTATAAACCTAATTAACAGAAAAACTATTTGCTTTACATAACTTTAGATACAAAACATCAGTTTCACATAAATATGTAATTTTGTTTGGATACAAAAACTGGTGGGGAAAATCTTTCAAACGTGACACCTTTATTAAAATAAGAACACCATAAAATGACAACATTCACTTTTTGCCTGGGAAAAAAAAAGATAAGTAGGAGCATGAAAATTCTGAAAGTATTCTTTGATCAAATAGCCAGAAAGGGCTCGTTATGATCTACTATCAGCGACCAACAAGAGCACAGGGAACTAAATATGCTGCATCTCAGCACACTGTTTTTTTATTTTCCCATTGTCTAAAAACTCTTTTGATGTGCACATAGGCTGTACCAGTTACATGTTAGAAGTTTCTTTTCCTATGAAGTTAAATTAATTATTAAATATTATAAACAAAAACACTTGGTTTTATGCACCATACTCTGCTAGCTGTCCTAAGAAAAACACAGACGAGCAGAACAGGGGACTACACTCAGCTGGAACTCAAACCTCATGGACAAACAAATGTCTTTATTCCTATTACACAGGAAGAAGTTCTATCCCCTTTAAAATCATGCTGAACAGTGAGATTTTCTGCATTTAGCATACAACTGGTAGAAGAATATCTAAGCAGAAACAAATGTCGTATCAATTACATCACTACATGGTGTGCTGGTGGTTATGATCACCCTTCAGTCATGAATGTGTCATGGGCTATTATACAGATGAATCCTTAGGGAGAACATATCTTCATAATTTGTAAATAAAAATAAACAGAATAAACAAAACCAAACACTTTTCAAAGTGATTACTTGCGATTAAAAGCAAAACAGTTACTCCAATAAACAGAAACATGTATGTTTTCTTACCATTGCAAATACCCTCCATAAGGCAGACAGATGTCCTTCATAATACAGGTCATACTTTGTGAGGTGAAATCCAAGTTGAATGTGACAGCATATTAATTGGACTTGCACCCACTCATTACTACCTCAGTTAAGAGGCATATACTGAATTAAGAGAGGTGAGAAGTTGGTTTAATATGCATAGGTGTAGAATTATGTGAGGAAAACTGATATTGAATAGAAAGAGAAACTGCCTGTCTCAAAAATGTCAGTTACTTCTTGATATTAGAAATTATTATCATCTTGAAGAGCAGAGGCTTAATTCTAAAGTTTTTTAAGCACAAGAAAAGAAATTTTTACTGTGAAGATGATCAAATATTGCTCAGAGATAATTTTGGAGGATTTTCCATCCTTGTATACATTTCAAACCTGGCTGGCCATAGTCCTAAGTAACCTGATTTGGCTCATGCTGATCTAAGCAGTGGGTTGGAGTAGATGATCTCCAGAGGTCCCTGCCAACTTCAGCAATGCTGTGATCCTGTGATTATTAGGGTAAACAAATGTTACCTTGAATGGCTGTGAAAGCCAGGGCTTTCCTTTCATATATCTGTTCACTTTTAAAATACTACATTATTAATCACTGAACCTAGGATGCACATCAAAATTGACATACAGCGCTACTGTCAACTTCCAGCACAGGAGGTCTAGCAATCTATGTAAATATTCACCTCTGTAAGCCAAGTCAGACACAGAGACAGTGTTATCTTGAGGAACAGGAACTTGTGATTAATAGGAAAAGGCAAATTGTTAAAGACCGTCCTCTGCTTATGCCTCCCAATGCATGACTGAAAAGAGGGAAATATTTTGGTATATAACACACCCCAAAAAATGGTACACCAGTATGTAATGTGGACCTGCTTAGTACAGGGAACAGTTAACTTATCCCCTGGGACAGAAAGTTAACCTCATAGAAATGTTTCTTTTTTTTTTTTCTTTTTTCCTCTCTTTCAGTAAATCAATAGGTCAAAACCAGACACTTTTCATTAGCATTCAGAATGCTTTATCCCACTCTTTCATCTCCCCTTGTTGCAATAGTTAGAGTCAGCCAGAGATATCATGACAGGTATTGATGGCATACAACAATCGAGGGAGAGAAACATTTCATATGAACTGTACAGCTTATCTTTTTATGCTAAACTTTCATGTTCACCAAATGGAAATAGATCACTTTCTTTGTGCTTTAACAACACAGACCCAGAAGAATCTGTACTACAAATATAGATAATTATCACTGCAAACCTTACAATATGCTGCCTACCTTTGTCATCATAACAACACTTCCCATTTGTCAGTAACATATTTGGCTCCAGGTTTTCTTTAAAATCACTGAAGAATCATTCAAACTCCTTTCATCTTTGTATTCCTGGAGACAGGGATTCCCTTTTCATGAAAATTGCATAGGAAGGAAAAACTGTGAACTGCAGCCAACATTCATATCAACCAAATGGTCTGGTATATTACCTAAAGCAAGAAAAGCTTCCACTTGAAAGCTAAATTCAAAATGACCTTGTGCTTTTTTTCAAAAAGGCTGGCAGCTGAGGTCATTGGAATAAATTGTGATAGACAGTGCTTCTCTCCACATAGTTAGAAGGCATGAATTACCACCAAGCAGGGAAAAAAAAAAAGAACCAAAACACAGCAAAGAACATCACTCAATTTCTTCGTAAAATAATGGTAAATGTAGTTTACAATAATTATGACTCTAATGAAATAATGTAGGTTTTCAGCAACTTTATTTCACCATCAAGTATGTTCTAGACTTTTCAATTCTACATTCAGAAATTAATCCTGTTCTTTATTGGCCTCTACTATTAACAGTATAAGCATCTGTAACTATGTTTCCCCAGAAGGCAGATCCCCGCTGCACAGAGTATTATGCAGTGTTGTTTAAAAATATACATTGTAGTTGTTAAGGTGAGTTAAAGCTCACTAAATCACTGAGTCAAAACCAACGAAATCGAAAAGAAGCCGGAACTGCTAGTGAGTGCTTTAATTGAGATTTAAATATGCAAATTGAAAGCAAACTCCTTACTATTCACTACTGTAAGAAAATTGTTAACAGTAATTTCAGAAGAAGGCAATTTTCAAAAGACTGTTTTTTTCAACACACTCTCTTGAAACACATAAGCAACCTCTGTCAAAGGACTTTAATCTGTCAATAGGACTGCATGAGTCCCCCACTTGTTTCTGTAATAGAACCTTTTCACTGGAATATTTTGATCGACAGATTCTTGTTTTTAACATCCGCCTCTTTTCGGAGCAGCTTAATGTTAAGACAAAAAATACACTTGGGGTTTCAAAGCAGGTGGAAAAACTCACAGTTCTGATTAAATGAGAACTGCCTCTAATCGTGTTTTCCACTGTGCCTTAAAGTAACCTACATAAAGAAGAAAACACATCTTGTCACTTCTGAAATATTTAAAGAAGAAAAAGTGGTGGGAAAAAAGAGTACATGTAACTTACCATTAAAGTTTACTGCCCGGATATAGCTAAGCAGTTCTTTACCATCAATTGTGTTCATCCTTGGGCATAGACCAATATATCCAGGACAGAGATCTTTATGCATGTTGTGTAGTGCATAGGCCATGGAATATACTGCATCAATTACAAACTGAACTTTTCCTTCTTGCTCATAGGCTGAATCTCTTGCAATTCTTTCTAAGCCTAAGGAAGAAAGAGAAAGAGTCGTTTTACTTCTATTTGTGTATGTGTATGTGTGCATGTGCATGAGCGTTTGTGTGCAAAAATTCACAGTAGAACATAAATAATTACAGTCAGATTGATAGGTAAAGTTAGGGCTCATCTATCCGTCACTTAAATAAACAAGACAAGGAAAAATATGGCCATCTGGGTTTGCCTCTAATCATTGTACACTGTGCCAGGTATATAAACAATATGTTGAGTTCTGGGCTGGGAAAGAGGACAGAACGTATTTATTACAAGAAAAAGAAATATAGATATATATATTTCCACAATCCAGTAGAAAAACTCTTTCCACCTTATTGACTTTCGTTCAACAGCTGTTTATTGTTATTTATAGGACATTTCTACAGCAGCCTGCCATTCTGTTTTAGATAAATTTAAGGCTACCTTGATTTCTATCCCTGCCTATTGTTTGATAAACATTATTTAAACATGTCAGGGAAAAGAGCTGAATGCTTGCCAAGTGATGTGGCCATCTGTCTCCATATTGAAAAGTGCTTATTCTGAGACTTTTTTCCTGTATTTACTAGTGAATTATGCTTCATGTTGAGAACCATGTACTGTCTGCTGTTTCCTACAGGGACTTTTTTTCTTCAGACGGAATAAAGAGCAAATCAATACATTATGAAATTTTTATTCTTCAGGAATTGCCCACATTAATCATCTGTATCTAAATCCAAAGAACCTTTTACATGCATAGGTGATAATACTAAGTGGAAAAGTTAAAAAGTAAAGTTCAGGAAAATTGTGTTTTAAGCAGACAACCAACACGAAATCCCAAGTCCTATATAGGACTTGAACCACTGAGTTCAAAAGCTCATAATCTTCATTTACCAGAGAAAGAGGGTTCTGCAGACCTCAAAGTGAAATCTGTCCTGCTGAAAAAAAATTTAAAGTTAAGTTCCTATTGACTCAATGAACACAAGAATAAATACCTAGGTTATCCATCAGATTAACAACACATTCAGTTTGAAATTAATCCGTTCACATTATTTAGGACTATTTAGAAATTAACCAATACTTTATGCATTTTTTTATTATTACTTTAACATCCTATATCTTATTTTTTTATGTTTGTTATTTTTTTTCCAAACACAGGCTCTTACCAGTACAAGATACCAATTTTGTTACATCCAAGTTTTTAAAAGTGCACTGCTTATGCCTGAAAAGATACTGTACACAAGATCTTTCTTTAGACAAAGTATGCAAGCCCATATGACATGAAAAAAAAAAAAGCCAGGGACTATACTCAGAAGCCTTTCTTCTGTTTCAGTGCCATCGTCTCATGTTACAATGAAAACATATGAACAAATTTGTAATCTGACAATATCAGTAGTGTTTTGTGCTTTAAACATCCCTGAGCACTGAGAGTTATAGATATCCTTGAAAAATCACGACGTGCTTTTATTTCCCCTCAGGGATTAGTTAAAAAAAAAATTAAATCACTACCTCTTGAAAAGGTACTAAGCACTTGGAGAGGAAAGTATATTACTCATTTTTATGATTTATCACAAGTACCTTCACAGACACTGTTCCAGACATGCTATCTAATGATTGGCAACTAATTAGTAAACAGTGCGACTCTACTGCAAATAAACAAACAGAATAACTTTTCCTTGCACATGCTAAAAATTACACAAGTAGTTGGAATACATTGCCCAGACATACAAGGAGAAAAAAAGGATGGAAGAGATGAAACTTAATTAGTCTGCAACTTTATTAACTTATTTTATTTGGGACAGTGCTTCCAACAGTAAGTGATGGGTAGAGCTCATGATCCCCACCTTAATTGTTCCTGCCTTGTTAAGGACAGATGGACAACACATGAAGGACGGGGTTTACTGAACTGCTGCAGGCACACAGCAGTCAATAACCTGTATGTGCTCCCCAGAGCTTCCATGTCCTCGAAACAGGATGGTCAGCACAGGAGGAGTTTGAAGGAGATATATCCACTTTAATTGCCAAGCTAAATACAATTTCCCTTAGATATCAGATGGATGGATGTGTATGCTGAACAGTGGGGGGTTGCTAAAAGACAGAGGGGAATCATTTTCTGTAATACATACTAAGTAATAAAACACTAAAAGTTGCAAACACTTAAGCAAGTACATTCTACTAAGTGATACAGATTTTAAAAGGGGAAAAAAAAATCAGCATTATACTCCTCTGTGTTATACTGTAGTTTAAACACACATAGGATTTGCATGAATTTCTTTCACAGCATAACATTTTACCTTTACTCTTCACAGATATGTGATCATAAGCTAATTTATCACATAAATTGCAGAGCAAAAAAAAAAAAATTATCAGGACTGAATGTGTTTCTGTACATACAAAGGGATAAGGAACATCACAGAATTACCAGTTTTAAACCTGTCAAATCCAGAAGGCAATAGACAAGAAGAGTCCCTGTGCTTTGCATAACAAAAAAAAAAAACCAACAAATTGGATAATGTGCTCTTTCTTTTTGAGTTTTCTCTTCTTCTCTTTCTAGAATTCCCAAACATCTAAAACAGTAATTTATAAAGACAGCAAGAACTCATCGACTTAAATTACATTCAACTGCCCTAAATAAATGTTAATGTGTAGCAGTAAAATGATGCATATTGTCTAAGCCATAAATATGGTCAGCTCCTACAGAGATAATATTACACGTTTGGAAGACATGATTATAAATTTTCTTCAGACTTGTATATCAAGTAATAAGAGTTTCATCTGCAGCTTGACTCTCAGCTCCACAAGGCGTGTTTCTACACACACTGGTGACTTGAAAAAATATAACAATTTGTATCTCATAATAGAAATGTTTTAATGGTTTCTTAATGACCAGTTCAATATTTCATCCTACAGTTTTTCCTCTGGAAAAATTGTTTAGGCTGTGTCTTTCTCAAAATGAATAAGAAGATGTTCCCAACTCTTGAACCAGGCACTTGATACCCCCATGGTCTGACAGTGTGTCAAGAACTGAGACAAGAATTGAGCTTTGGATTCTGATCTCCAAACAAATGAAATCCAGGGGAATGTGCCATGGTGCTTTCCAGCAGGTCTTCCAATCCAGCTGTTGAGAAGTGCAGGCTTGTGGGGAATTTCAGCAAGATGTCAAGACTTTCCCTAACCAATGAAGAAAACACATAGACACAGGTACTCATTTTGTCATCTTGGGCTAGAGAAGAGCTAGGAGAGTTGTAACACTAACCCAGGAAAAGTGTCAGCTGTTCCTGGCTCCTTCCATTTGAAATGTCTTTTGGGAACCCTAGAGTGAGTCATAGGAATGATCCTCTAAAAGCCTGTACAGATGAAAGAGATGCTACAGCAAGAGTGACAGACTGGACTGTTGCGGGAGGTATTGCCTCCATACATTCTAATAATTTCCCACTTTGTTCCTGTAGTTCCTGTGCTGCAGGAATAATTGTGGATCCTGCTCAGGATGGTAGAACTCAGTTATGACAGGGAAGGATAAGGAGCATAACAGTAGGAATGTGAGATGGGGTTTAGGTGGATAAGAGGATGTGGCTGGGGTTACTAGTCTTGGAGGGAAGGTGAAGAATGTGACATTATCAATTCCTTAGGTATGAACTGGGAATCAAGAGATTTCAGGAACATAATCAAGAGAAATTAGGCCTTTACAACAATAAATTAAAATGTATCTTAAAAACTTAATAACAGCATAGAGTAAGAAAATAAAGATTAATGTGATATAGCCAGATAATGAATTCGTACATGGGTGATGGTATCACCTTTGGGATACAAACAATTATCTTGAACAATCAAAACTTAAGTTGCTGATCTCATCATCAGGGGCCTAATCTGCCAGGTGATAAAAGTTGCATAATTCATCTAAGTTTTAGAAACCATGTTCTTAATGATGATCTTTAAGCATATGTAGAAGTAAATTCTGCACACATACAAGTTCATGACAATAGGAAAAATTCAGAGGGGTTCCTAGCTATTATTCTTTTAAGAATATAAGAATTCTAAATAAGGCAGTTGGATATACCTGTTTTGTAATTTGTGATATAGGGAAACAAGATTGATTTATTTGTTTATTTAACTGCCCTGTTTCTGGAAATTGCCAGTTTACCTAAAATTTCTGAGCAATCCCATTCCTTCTGTCTCACAAATCTGTTTCAAATTATCATTATTGAAAGAAATTTATGTACAAGTTCAGCCTACATTATCAGTCATGATTATTTCTACAGTTTCAAGAATCCATCCCACATATCCAATTAAAATCTTAATTTATGTTACTTGAAGACAAAGGTTGAAGTCAAGGACCTTACATACAACAGTTGGTTAGAGCTTCAGATTGGAACAACGTTGTGAAGGTTCACAGTTTGAGAAAAGTTTTGGGTATTGGACAGCTTTGGGAGACAGGAGTGGGGCTCCATAGTTTAGAGGAATAGAGATATCTGGTATGGGGATGCAGTGTGCATGGGAATGGGAACCTAATTTTGACAGAATAATCATCATAAGTTCAGATTCCAACCTTAGAAAAAGAGTGCAGTCAGAGACAAGAAAGTAGGAACACATAATCAAAGCTCCATGTAGGAAATAGGATGCTTCGAGGTCTTGTCTCCTAATCCCAAGTCAATTGCTTTTTTTTTTCTTATCAGTCTCCTTTATCATCATTTTTTATTTGTTTTGTCTAGGACTGATTGGAAGACAACTGGCCAGCTCACTTTTCATTTTCAGTTCAAATATTGTATCGGTGTAAGCCTTGTTCCACTGTTTTGGGGTACGAATTCTCAAAAGCTTACCAAAATCAAAGTTAAAAACTCAGAAAACTTCTAATCATCCTCTCTGAAAACTTTCAGGAGTAAATTATAGAAATGTCCTTTAATTGTTGCAATGTGTCATAGTCTTTCACTTAGTTCAAATCAAAGTTACTTTTTCATCATCATCTGGTAAGGTTACGTCTTCTATTTCACTAAGCTATAAATATTAATGTAATACCTGTCATT